AGGTCATGATCCTGGAGTCCCTGGATCGAGTCCCGCATCGGGCTCCCTGCTCTGCAGGGAGTCTGCTTCTCCTTCCGACCCTCCCCCCTCTCATGTGCTCTCTCTCATTCTCTCTCTCTCAAATAAATAAAATCTTTAAAAAAAAAAATAAATAAAATAAAATCTTAAAAAAAGAACTAATTAGAAGATGGGTAAAGGACTTGAGTAGACATTTCTCCAAAGAGGATATACAAATGGCCAGTAAGCACATGAAAAGATGCTCAGTATCTCTAGTCATCAGGAAAATGCAAGTAAAAACCACATGAGATACCATTTCACACCCACTGATGGGTATAATAATAATAATAAAAAGATAATAACAAACATTGACAAGAATGTGGAGAAATCAGAACACTCATTCACTGTGGATGGGGTATATAAATATAAAATGGTGTAGCTGCTTTGGAAAACAGCTTGGTTCCTCAGAAAGTTAAACATAGATTAAGCACATGACCCGGCAACCCCATTCCTGGGAACATACCCAAGGAAAAAAACCTATGTCCACACAAAGACTTGTACAGGAGTGTTCATAGCAATATAATTTGTATTAGCGCCCCCCCCCCCCGCCGCCTCCGCCCCGGTGAAAACAACCCTAATGTCCATCAACTGATGAATGGTTAGGGAAAAAAATGTGGTGTATCCGCATTGCCCTGCCTGCCATTGCTTCAAAATCACCAAAGCAGAATATTTAGTGATGCTGGGTCATTATCCAGAAGCACGGTCTGCAGCCAGTGACATTCCACCAATGGCCATGCTCTGTATGTATGAGGTCTCTGCCGTTATTAGGAAGACCGTATTGAGAAGGTAGTACAGTTTTTTTTTTTGTACAGGCTCTCGAGATGGCCCCTGACCCCAAAAATGCCTCCCTTGCTTGCAGAAATGCCAAAGCACTTAAAGCAGAGCAAGAAGAAGGAAATTACAAGCTGGCGTATGAACTATACACAGAAGCCCTGGGGACAGACCCCCAACAATATAAAAACAAATGCTGAATTCTACTGTAACTGGGGTATAGATCATTCCAAGCTTAGGAGACTAGATGGTGCAATAGAAGATTGCACAAATGCAGTGAAGCTTGATTCCACTTAATTAAAAGCCTCCTTGGGAAAAGCTCAGTGTTACGTGGATACGGAACAATTTGAAAAAGCAGTACGGGACTGTGGAAAAGTGTATCAGACGGAGAAAACATAAGAACATGCACAGCTCCTAAAACACCACACAGCTGGTGCTGAAGAAAAGCAAGGAAAGTTTACTACAAGTTTCTGGGAGTGGACATGAATGCCTCTGAGGAGGAGACCAAGAAAACTATCCGCAACGAGCCTTGAAGTGCCACGCAGACGGGCACGGGAGAGCCAGTGCTGAAGTCCAGAAGGAGGAGGAGGAAAAGTTCAAGGAAGTCAGAGAAGCCTTTGCAAGCTTTTGCTCTCCTCACTGATCCTGAGAAGAAGACTCACTCTGACACTGGACAGGACCTGGATGAGGAGGGCCCGGGTGTGGGTGACTTTGATGTCAACCACATTTTCTTTGGCATTCTTCAGCATTGCTGGGGCTTCAGCTTTGAAGCATCTGGTCTGGGGAATTTCCTTTTTCAGTTTGTGTCATGAGAGGAAACCATCCAGAACCTAGAGAGTGCGGACTTGCTCAGTGTGACCTTGAATGTGGACACAGCTTACCTCCTCTCTTCTCCGCATCTCCGTGTACTTGCAGCGCTTTGGCTTTCTCCGTTGGATCCCTTGGGTCTGTGTGAGTGGGTGAAGGAAAGGGGGCTGGTGCCAAGACTGCGGGTGTGGGAGGGAGGGAGGGGATGGACAGGGAAGCAACTTGTGAATTTTTGTTTTACTGTTTAACTTTATTTTAAAAAGCCAAAAAAAAAAAAAAGTTGGGGGGGGCCCATCTGGCTGGCTCAGTCAGTAGAGTGTGTGACTCTTGATCTCAGTCATGAGTTCAAGCCCCACATTGGGTGTGGAGCCTACTTAAAAAATAATAAAATCCTTTTTTTTTTTTAAAGATTGGTTTATTTTTTTATTTTTTTTTATTTAAAAAAAAAATTTATTTATTTGACAGAGAGAGACACAGCGAGAGAGGGAACATAAACAGGGGGAGTGGGAGAGGGAGAAGCAGGCCTTCCGCAGAGCAGGGAGCCCGATGCGGGGCTTGATCCCAGGACCCTGGGATCATGACCTGAGCCGAAGGCAGACACTTAACGACTGAGCCACCCAGGCGCCCCAAGATTGGTTTATTTTTGAGAGAGAGAGAGTAGGGGGAGGAGCAGAAGAAGAGGGACAAGCAGACTGCATACTAAGCGTGGAGCCTGAGGAGGGGCTTGATCCCATGACCCTGAGATCATGACCTGAGCCAAAATCAAGAGTTGGATGCCTAACCAACTGAGCCACCCAGGCACCCCAGTAAAATCCTCTTGTAAAAGGGCAAAAAATTAAGAGTAAAATGTTTGACCCTTAAAAAAAAATAAAAGTCAGGGGCGGCTGGCTGGCTCAGTCGGTGGAGCATGTGACTCAACCTCAGGGTCATGAGTTCGAGCCTCATGTTGGGTATAGAGATAAAAATGAAATCTTAAAAAAATTTTAAAAATTAGAAAAAAAAAAAGGGAGTGAAGTACTGACAGATACTATGTCTTCGCCTGATTGGGCTGCCATAATAAAATGCCATAGATGGGTACCTTAAAGAACAGAAATTTACTTGCTCACAGTTCCAGAGGCGGGAGGTCTGAGATCAGGGTACCAGCATGGTTGGTTTCTGGTGTGGACTCTCTCCTTGAATTGCAGATGGTCGCCTTCTCGTTGTGTGCTCATATGACCTCTTGTCTGTGGGGGCACGCAGAGAGCGAGCAAGCGCTCTCTGGTGGCTCTTCTTATAAAGTCACAAATCCCATCACAAGGGCCCCACCCTTCTGATCTCATCTAACCCTAATTACCTCCCAAAAGTCTCATCTCCCATCACACTGGGGGCTAGGGCTTCAACATAGGAACTTCGGGGGACACATTAAGTTTATTGCACGGTACAAGATGAATGAACCCTGAAAACATTACGCTAAGTGAAAGAAGTCAGTCCTGAAGGACCACATACTGTATGACTCCATTGATAGGAAACGTCCAGGCGAAGCAAATCCATAGAGACAGAAAGCAAATGAGTGGTTGCTTGCCCCAGGGGTTGGGTGGGGGGAGGAAATAAACAGAGACTGCAAATGAATACAGTTTATTTGGGGGGTGATGAAGATGTTCTGGAATTAGATTGTGGGTGATTGTTGCACAACTTTGTGAATCTACTAAAAAAAAAAAATCCCACTGAATTATACACTTTAAAATGGCAAATTTTATGGCATGTGAATTATATCTTAATATTAAAAAAAAGAAAAAAGATGTAGAGACACATCAACCAGTGGACTTTGTTAGGCTCTCGATTCAAACAAAGCAACTTAAGAAAAAAAAGACATTTTAAAAACAACTGGGGAAAATTGAACATGGATTCTGTATTAGGTGATACAAGGAATTCTTGATTTGGGAATGTGCAATAATAGTAATGTGATTATATATATATATATATATTTTTTTTTTTTTTTTAAAGATTTTATTTATTTGACAGAGAGAAGCAGGCTCCCTGCTGAGCAAGGAGCCTGATGTGGGACTCGATCCCAGGACCCTGGGATCATGACCCGGGCCGAAGGCAGACGCTTAACTGACTGAGCCACCCAGGTGTCCCATGATTATATATTTTTAAAACACAGTATTCACAACTGAACTATGCAGAACATTCTAGCATCTACTTTCTTGCACACCTGTTCACTGTGTGAGCTTCCTCATGCCTGCTCTCAGCCATGGGGTAGACTAGGGGTGGCATGGGAGAGGCACGTTCTCAATCTCCTCACCCTCCCCCATGAGAGAGTGGGGAGAGAGAGAGAGAGGAAGAGAGGGTGCCCTCTCAGTTGTGGGGAAGGCCACTCTCTGAGGCAGACGGCTGTTAGGCCACTGGCCCGGCCTCATTTGCCGGGGAGGGGCCCTGTTTCCAGGCCTCTGGGAGCAACCTGGTTTTCTCCGTGCCACCCCAAAGGCTCTAGCTCCTGTGTCACCAGGTCACTCCCGCTGGGTGTCTTCCTCAGCTTTCACACATTTCCTCCATTTTGGAGGGGCTCGAGGGCTAGAACCACCATGAAGGTGACCCTGACCCCATTTCTTACTTTCTTGGCTTCTCCGTCAGGGTCTGGGGGTCCAGGATGTGTGGTGGGCTCAGTACTCAAAGTACTCAGTACTCGAAGTACTCAGCACTTTCCGGGAAATTTGTGCAAGAGGAAGCCACCAAGAGAGCTGCTGTTTTAATGTCCCGGCAGCCTGAGTCATCCAGGTACTTGACCTGCAGGCAGCCTCACCTCATTCAGGAAGCTTCCTTGTTTGGACGCGTTCAGCCATTCATCCCTTGGTCCTGCTTTTGTCGAGGCCCGTGGCTGTCAGCTGGTGTCATCGTAACTCACCCCGGACCAGCGCTGCCCTTGGGATGTTCTGAAGTCCTTCCTCGTGTGCGCTCGAGTAGCCGGCCCCCGGTCTCTCCCCGGGGCCCCTGCCGGCAGTGGGTGCAGCATGCACAGACTCTCCGTGCTGGTGGCTGGTGGCTGATGGCTGAGTGGCAGCACTGTTCTTACATAACCCGTTTCTCTCCTCCTTTCTCCCTCCAGAGCCAGATCTCACACTGAGCAGCTGCAGACGGAGAAATCAGAGAAAGCACAACCCGGCCCCAGATTCCGAGGGGCCTGCTGGGGCCTCTGTCCTCCTGCTCGAGAGGGAAGACCCCGAGGCCGGAGTCTCAGGCCAGGTCCCGGCTGCCATGGGACTCGCAGCTGCCGCCCCCCGGCTGCCCTCCACACGGCCAGGCAGATAAGGGCGGGCACTGCCCCAGGAGCACCTGCCGCCCCCCCGCCGGGCTGCTGCTCTGTGGCCAGCCCTCCCCCAGCCTTGGACCACCTTCGCTGACCCGAGGCCATGTAGGCCCCACCTGGGCCTTTGTGGATAGACACACGGCCGGGGACACTGCCTCTGCTCTCTGGGGGACGCAGCGTACCACCATGCCCCGGGGAATCGCCTGGCTGCACTGTGAGTACCGGGGAGGGGGGTCTGTGGAGACGGCCCTTGGAGGCCTTGGCCCAGAGCCAGGCTCTGCTGTAACCACGGCAGCAGGGCCATTCCTGCCAGTGAGAAGTTGAGATGCTTCCCAGCTTAACAGCCTGAGGACTCCTGAGGCAGCCTGAGGACTGCCACCCTCTGCCCGGGCCCTAGCCGACCCCAGCTCAGACCCGCATGCGGGGTACGAGTCCTAGGCTGGGTTGGCATGGTCAGTGGGCGGTCAAGGGGATGGGGCAGGCACTGGGGGCAAGGGGCAGCACCACCTTCGCAGGCTCACCAGTTCTGGGGTGCACGGGCAGGGGTGGGGCAGAGGTGGCAGAGAGGATTTCTGGCCTCCCTGGGTGTGGCCAGCCGGGGGTGGGAGCTCGTGGAAGTGGGCCCCAAGACACATGGCAGAAGTGCCACCAGGTGCCTGAGAAGGCAGCCTGTTCCTCTGCCCCTCCCTCCATGATAGAACAAAATTAAGAGGCAGAAAGCGAACAGTGTTGTTGGTAAAAAGAAAAATAAGTTGAAATGAGGACAGAAAGCGTCTAGAAGCCTCTCAAGTCTGCTGGTGGGAGGCCAGACCAAGATCCCTTCAGACTCCAAGATTCTATTGAATTGACTCAAATTCAGCACATTTTTCTGGTGCCTCCCACATGCCCACTGGAGAGTTACTGCCATGGCAACAAGGACTGGGCTAGCTCGCGCCCCTCTCTCCGATGCCTGGCGCCGAGTTAGGCGTTAGGAACTGTGTGCCTCATGGATGAGGTCTGGGGTTTGATCCTGCAAGGGATCCAGGCTGGCCCTTGTGAAGGGAGACTGCAAAGGATCAGGGCCTTCAGAACAGGCAGAAGGACCAGACCCAGTGTTCTGGAAGCTTCCAGGTCACGAGGAGCAAGAGGGGCAATATGGGTGAGGAGCCACTTGAAATGGTTTTGAAGGTTTGGAAGGTGGGAAGGTGAGGACAGTGTCCCAGGTAGAGGGAACAGCATGAGCAAAGGTTCAGCAGTGGGGCCGTGAGAGGCCAAGCTGGAAAGCCAGTTTGGGCTCAGATGGTGGAGGCCGTAAAGGCCAGTTCATGAGACAGCAGGGAGCTCTGGAAGGTTCAAGATCTGGGGATGGGGTTGTGACTGGGAGTTACTCTACTTTCGAAAGATCAGTCTGTGCTACTTGCTGGCCGTGCTGTCGCAACCTTTTGGGCAGGGAGTGATGAGGGTCTGTTCCAGAGATGGACGTGGGGCCGGAACGGAAGGCATGGTGGAGGCTGACTGCAGGCGCTGGCAAGGATGGGCTGTGGGGAGGGAGGCAGGGAGAGCTGCAGGTCAGGGACTCGTAAAGGGGCTGGATGCTGGGGAAGGATGGGCTGCCATAAACTCAGTGACTTAAAACAGCAGAAGATTATTCTGTCCCAGGTCTGGAGGCCAGAAGTCTAAAATTAAGGTGTGGGCAGGGCCACACCTCCTTCGAAGCTCTAGGGGAGGCTCCTTTCTGCCTCTTCCTGCTTCTATTGGCACCTGGCAGTCCATGGTTTGTGGTGTCATCGCCCCGGTCTGTGTCTGTCTCCTCCTGACACTCTGCATGTCTCTGTGTCCTCTCCTTCTCTTATGAGGACACCTGGTCACTGGATTTAGGGTGGGCCTTGATGTTGTCTGCAAAGACCCCATTTCCAAATAAGGTCACATCTGAAGCTCTGGGCGAACAAGGATTTTCAGGGGGATGCTATTCAACCCTCTGCACAGGTTTAGATTCAGTCACTGCGGGTGGGGTGGTGAACAAGCCCCATTTGTCCCTGCACAAGGGGGCTGTCCCCAGGACAGGTGCAGCCCCTCCCCCTCCCAGCCAGAGACCCGGGAAGGGAGCTCCTTCCTCACTTGCTCTTTCTTCAGCCTCCTCTTCTGTCTTGGAGGTGTCTTCTTTCTGGAGGGCGAGGGGGCAAGAGTGGCGCCCTTCCGGGGTCGGGGGTGCACGGCCATGGGGCTCTCTGAGGAGCAGAGCCACTGTGAGGCCCCATGGTCACCGGCTTGCTGGCCTGTTTCTTGGGGTGGAGGCAGCTGAAAAGGGGCTTAAATTTGGAGTTGGCGGTCAGTCTGCAGATCTAAAGGAAGTCTGGGTGTGGGGGAAGGCAGATGACCCACGGACAAGGTTTCTGGCAGAGCCCATGCATGCCAGGCTGGCACGCGGTGGCTTTCTATGACTCGTTCCCTGCTAGGAGCCAAAGTTGTCAGGACAGGGGTGAGGGCAGCGAGGGTAGGACTTCAGGGGTCACATGGGCAGGCAGGGGTGACTGCCCCATGGGAAGGAAGGCCAAGTGTGGACAGAGATACTGATTTTTGAAGACAAGTTGCAAATTCAGATTTTTATGTGAAATCTCTGTGAACCAGCTGTGGCCCTTGGGACACCAGTTTGCAACTGTCTCTGGAGGTCAGTGGTTCTCAAAGTGTAGTCCCCAGACCAGCGGCAGCAGCAGCACCTGGGAACTTGCTAGAAATAGACTCTCTGGGCCCACCCCAGACTTCCTGAATCAGACACTCTGGGCCTTAACCAGCTTTCCAGAAGATTCAGATGCATGCTCCTGATTCCTTGTTCAAGATGAACCCCCAAAGTGCTCAGTAAACAAGACCATGCTGTGGTTCGCTGCATTAGGGACTCACTCACTAGGGGCCAAGTTGTCCGGTCTAGATAATGAGTGAGGTGGACAGATGGTGCTAGAGACGAGACTGTGGGGACTGGTTCAGGCAGGGGAGAGCCTGGCGGGGGGTGGGGGAAGGCGTCTTGGTGCGGCCTTGAAAGAGGTCTGCCATGCCGGAGGATACCGAGGGCCAAGGCAAAGTGTGAGCAAAAACTGTAAACCAGGAATGATCTCGGTCTGCAGGGGTGCCAAGCTGAGGAGCTTAATGACTTAGAGACAAGATAGGAAGCAGGCAGAAACACTGGCTCAGTATCTGTTTATCTGTTCTTTTGTCCAAATACCGGGGGCAAGCGCTTGGGAAGAGACAAGAGAGAGGAAATGCAAGACGGGTTGCAAATTTGCAAACTTGAAAAATAGCCCTTCTCTGGGAGGAAGGGCTTGTGGGCTGCAGCGCGTCCTCCTTGTCCCCCTCGGAACAGGGCTTGAGGCTGCCTAGCACGCTCCGGGTGAGAGTCCAGCCAGAGCAAAGGCCCGGCAGCAGGGCGGAGGAGGAGGAGAGGTGCTCAGGAGCAGGCCCAGGCCAGTGAGGGAGTAAGAACAGAAGTCTCCCTAAGTTCCAGGGAGGTGAGGGAGAAAGTCCGGTCAGTGACGCCTACTGGGAACCGGGGGTGGGGCAAGGAGATAATGGCTTGCCTGGGTATTTTTGGGAGGGGGAAAAAAAAGGAAAGAAAAGCAAAAACAAATTATTGCTTTTGACTGTGACAGTAATTTGGATATTGATTGTATTGATTGTAGAGTATAAAGTATGTCCTACAAAATACAAAGAACGTAAAAATCTCCCACAGAGATTTGGTGCCTTTCCTTCCACCACTCGCACGGGACAGCGCCCAGAGGAGAGGTGTTTAGTCATGCTTTTTAAGACTTTACTAAGCATATCATGAGTACTTTTCTTATCACATAAGCATACCGTAAGCATTCTTTGACAATGTGGTTTTTATTGGCTACATTCATTAATGAACATGTGGGCCGTTTACAGATTGTTATTCGTATAAGATAATTCTGCAACAGGACTCTTTGTCCACGAATCTTTTGGTGATGGCTCTTGTTTTCCTTCAGGCTTATGCCTAAAAATGAGTTCAGTGGATCAAAGAATGAAAAATTACTATTTTTAAACTATTTTTTTTTAAAGATTTTATTTGACAGCACAAGCAGGGGAGCGGCAGGCAGAGGGAGAGGGAGACGCAGGCTCCCCGCTGAGCAGGGAGCCCGATGCGGGGCTCGATCCCAGGACCCTGGGATCATGACCTGAGCCAAAGGCAGATGCTTAACCAACTGAGCCACTCAGGCGCCCCTGTTTATTAATATTTTTTAAAGATTATTTATTTGAGAGAGAGAGTGAGGGGTGGGGAGGCGCAGAGGGAGAGGGAGAGAGAGTCCCAAGCCGACTCCCTGATGAGTATGGAGCCTGATGCTGGGCTTGATCTCACAGCCCTGAGATCAGGAACTGAGCTGAAACCAAGAGTCAGACTGCGCCACCCAGGTGCTCCACAGTAGGTCAAAGGATGTGAAAATTTTCAAGGCTTATTGGGTCAAAGGGTGTGGACATTATTAAGTCCACTAATAATAAAAATTGCCAAATTGCTTTCCAGGATAAGAGCCTCACTACTTCGCCGGCACCAAGTGTCATAAAATGAAATTAAAAAAACAACACCCAATTTCCATTTTTGATAAGTGAAACATGGCATCTGATTGTTTTAATATATATATATTTACCTTTATTGGTGAGTTTGATTTTTGTTGGATACACCTCCTGCCCATCTATGTTTTCTTTCTGCTCTGATGAGCTTGATGCTTGTTCATATTTTTTGCAACTCCTCAGGTTTTTTTTTTTTTAAAGATTATTTATTTATTTGACAGAGAGAGATACACAAGCAGGGGGAGTGGGAGAAGGAGAAGCAGGCTTCCCACTTAGCAGGGAGCCCGATATGAGGCTTGATCCCAGGACGCTGGGATCATGGCCTGAGCTGAAGGCAGACGGTTAACGACTGAGCCACGCAGGTGCCCCTCCTCAGGTATTTTTTGTAAGTGTGTTCAGTTTCGGGAAATCACAAAAGCTGTTTTTGAAGTCACAGTGACCCCCAGTGGTGAAAGCTGGTAATGTTCGGAAGGCGGCAGCCTGAGCTTGGTTGGCTTCCCCAGAGTGAGCGCATTGGAAGGGCTGCAATGATTTGTACATCTGAGGGGGAAGCCAAGATCAGTTACAGCAGGGAGGCAATTGGCTCCGGTCACTCAAGAGTCATTTGTAGAGTGGGAACGAGCATCCAGGACTCCTGAATCCCCAGATGGAAATGCAGACCCAGGCTTTGAGGACACTCCAGCCCTAAAGGGGGTGGGGGCCGAGGTTGCCCTGGAAAGGAGGTTGTGCCTGCCCCATGGTGCAGGAGTGGGGAGGAGACTGGACACCAACCTCAGGATGGGACTGCGGGGCGGGCTCTGCTGGCTGGGGGCAGGGCTGTACTGGCCGGACTGCTCGTGCTCGCCTGGCCTTGCTGTGTGAGCCTGGACCCTGGTGGAGGGAAGGCCTCCCCAGCGCTCTGCGCCTCCGCCCCTCCCATGGCTGGGAAAAGGGAGGGCACACGCGCACAGCTTTACACACCCAGGCGGCGTGGGGTGCTCATGTGTTGCTGTTGGGTTTGGCCCACAGATCTCGGGATCCTCCTTGGCATGGCCTTAGGGAACAGGGGTTTGGAGATGTGGCCCTTGACCCAGACCGAGGAGTGCGCCGTCACTGGCTTTCTGCGGGACAAGTTGCAGTATAGGAACCGTCTGCAGTACATGGTAACCGTGGGTACCCGCTGTGTCCCCTGCCCAAGCTCCCGGGCTCACAGGGTGTAGGCCCCCAGGCCCCGCCCTGGCTCCGTGTCAGCCCTGAGCCCAGGGCCCCTTTCTCCGCCTGGCCCGCACCAACCGTGCCCTCCCTGCTGGCCATCCCCAGGGCCCCCTACCCCTGCTACTTGATCTGACCTTTGATCCTGCCTCTCCATGGCGCTCACCCTGTGACTCAGGAGTGGATTCCAGAAAGCCTTGGGGGGAACCCCAGGCACTTATTACCAGCTGGGCAGATAAGGACCTAGAAGTTGGAATGTGCACCCCTTTGTGTAGGGTAGAGAAGCCCATGGGCCACTGTGGCTCTGGAAGACTTTTTTCTTTTCTTGACAGCTTTACTGAGATGTCCTTCACATACCGTACTATTCACCTGTTTAAGTGTACAACTCCGTGGTTTTCAGTCTATTGGCAGAGGTTTTTTTTTTTTTTTTTTTTTAAGATTTTATTTATGTGACAGAGACACAGGGAGAGTAGGAACACAAGGAGGGGGGAGTGGGAGAGGGAGAAGCAGGCTTCCCGCTGAGCAGGGAGCCTAATGCGGGGCTCGATCCCAGGACCCTGGGACCATGACCTGAGCCGAAGGCAGATGCTCAGCGACTGAGCCACCCAGGTGCCCCTATTGGCAGAGTTCTGCAACCAGCCCCATAATAAGTTTAGAGTAATCTTACTTAAGGTAGTCTTCCTCACCTCCAAAGAATATACTACTCTGGGGGTAGCAGGTCCCTCAACCACTTCTTGGCATGAAATTTCTGCCATCATAGGAACTCCACGTTTGGTTTCAGCCTTCTCTGTGCCCCAGAGGAAAGAGAGCTGTCGTTATTCTCGTGGGGAGCTGGGTGCATATTCTCTCTAGAAGGCCACCTCTGGTATCAAAGGGCTGGTCCTTGGCCCTCTCCTACATCAGACTGTCTGGGAGCTGGGGGAGCCTGAGCCATTTCTGACTCTGACCTCATGGTTTCTTCTTGTACTTCCCCAGAAACACTACTTCCCCATCAACTACAGGGTCAGCGTGCCTTATGAGGGGGTGCTCAGAAGGGCCAACATCACCAGGCTGGTGAGAATCCCCTCCTGGGCTGGGAGACCCCTGCCTCCTGGGACACCCCATGGACCCAGCCTGAGAGGCACATTGGTCTTGGCAGGTCCTGCTGCCAGGGGGCATTTCCCAGCTCCACGAGCAAGCCTGCCCTCGGCTGAGGCCCAAGGTTGCTCCCTGGCCACCGTGGATGCCCATGCTCTGCTCTCTCTGTGGGGCCACGTTGGGTGGGGGGTGGTCAGAGCAGTGGCAGGGAGGGCCCAGAGACCCGTGTCTGTGGGCTTCAGTGATGTCTCCTGTCCCCACAGCAGAAGGCCCGGGTCAGCCAGCAGGAACTGCGGTACCTGTGGGTCTGGGTGAGCCTCAGCGCTACTGAGTCGGTGCAGGAAGTGCTGCTCGAGGGCCACCCATCCTGGAAGTACCTGGAGGAGGTCCATACGCTGCTGCTGGACGTGCAGCAAAGCCTCATGGTGAGCTATGCTCAGCTGCGGGTGTGTGTGTGTGTGTGTGTGTGTGAGGTGGGGTGTGCGCATGGGTGCACGGTGGCCAAGGATGGTTGAGGGAGGATTTGAACACATGGAAAGTTTCAGCAGGTCCTGAAGGGTGTAGGAAAAACGATTGAGAGGAAGAGATGGCCAGTGCCCAGTGGGTGGCCTGGGCTGGGGGCAGGGGATACTCTGGGCTCTGTCTCTCTTGCTCTGGATCCCAGGTAAGTCATGGAACCCTGTGGCTTTGTTTCTGGAGGTTTCTTTTTTGGGGGAGAGGGGAGGAAGTATGAATAGGTGGAAGGATGAACAAAGGAGGTTTTTAGAGTATAATGAAGTGCTTCTCCAGGACACTGTAATATCCTGTTTGTGTCAAAGTCCATCGCATGTACAGCACAAAGTGAACTATGGACTTCAGGTAATAATAATAGAGGTTCCTGATCATTGCCTGCCCCATAGGATTGATCTGAGGCCTCAGGGATGTGTCCTCTAAAAAGCCTGCAGAGTAAACTCACAGATTAGTGTGAGCCCATGCAGGCCATGGGTGTACTGCAGGACCCCTCCCCCCACTCCCATTTTGCCCTACTCCCACAGTAGGAGCCTTCCCCGGGGAGCCCCCCCCCCCCCCCCCGCTGCCCAGTCAGAGCTGGGAGCTGCGGGGGACACTAGGGTTTAGGAGCCCACGGCTGCTGGGAGTTCTGGGGAGGCTCTGGCTTGGGCGGAGGCCCAGTGGTCTCCTTGGTGGCGCTTCCGTGCCCATGGGCAATGTGAGTTGGAGCTGACCTGAAGAGACAGTTTTGCATCCTTGGTTTTCCTGGTGAGAGCCCGACTCTGAGCTCTTGGGAGAGTTCAGATTTAACCAGCTTTAAGTCTTGTCTTCTTTCTCAGAGTTAATGGTCTGTGCCCCGCTCCAAATATGCCCAGCATCTGGTGCGCAGTGGGTTCTCCCTGCCAGGGAGTGGGCCATGGGACAGGCCCCTCCTCCCTCCTGCCACACTCGCTTCTCTTTCCAAGCCTTTGTAGACTGGCTTTTTTGGGTTGTTGTGAGAAATGACCACTTACTGGTGGCGGAATATGGAAATTCTCTTGCCGCAGACCTGGAGCCAGAAACCCTGCACCCAGGGTATATCAGCAAGGCCATGCTGTTTCCGAAGGTTCTAGGGAGCAGGGACCCTTCCTGTTTCTTCCCCGCTTCTGCTGGCTGCTACTCTTGTTGGCTTGTGGCCATGTCACTCCAACCTCTGCCTCCACCCTCACATGGCCTTTCCCTCTAGCATCGCCTCTTATAAGGATGCCAGTCATTGGATTTAGGGCACACCCTACATTCAAATTGATCTCATCTGGAGATCCTTAATTACATCTGCCAATGTCCTATTTCCAAATAGGGTCATGTTCACAGGTCCCAGGGCTGGATGTAGTTTTTTTGGAGGGGGGATTAAGGGGACAGACATTTTAACCCAGTACGCTCCCTTTAGGAAGGTCTTTGCTTGGCTCAGGCCCCACATTTCCTTTCTAGGCCATGTCTCCTGCACCAGCTCTGGCCCCCTGCTCCGTCCCCCAAGTGTGCCTGCCTGCTCCCCGCACCGTGCCCCGTTGTTAAGTACTATGGAGAGAAGCACCCTGAGTTTGGAGCTGGAGACTGGCCCGGCCCGGGGTGCCTGGCACCCAGGTGTCCTCATGATACGGCCCTCACAGGTCCTTTGTCTTGTTCCCTGCAGGCAGTGGAGATCTTTGAATCCTGAAGGACAGTCTCCCGGGCCCAGGACTCCTTGTGTGCGGGTGGCCGGGCCTGGGCTAGAACAGCAAGGATGCCCCCTACAATCATTTTTCCAAAGATGGAAAAAGAGGAGCCTCTGTGATGATGGGCCTGGGTGAGGGTTGTTGAGGGGGACCCTCCCAGGTAAGGAAGGAGAGAAATTACCCATAGGCCCCCGGTCACAGTCCCCTGCCTCCATGGTTTGTGCAGCTCCACGCAGGGCAGTTTCCAGGCTTCTCCTGGGATATGGCCCTGCCTTTTCACTGGGGTTGGGGGCGGGTGGCACCCATGGTCCTGACGGTCTCCTCCCTTCCAGGATGTGGAGGTCGGCCCCAAGGTGGACGCGGTAGTGTCACTCCTGAGTGGCCCGAGGCTAAGCCTGAAGCTGGTGCGACCCAAAGCCCTCCTGGACAACTGCTTCCGGGTCATGGAACTGCTGTACTGTTCTTGCTGTAAGGAACAAGTAGGGGGGGCTGGGGGCAGGACACCAGGCTTCAGACGCAGGGTCACTGAGCAGACGAGGACCCTCCGGGGCATGTCCTCCACTCCCCAGGGCTATAGGGCATTTCGGAAAGCCAAGATGGGCCCCAGGTACAGGGACAAGAACAATGGGGCTTGGTCTGGGAATGAGGGGGGCTGTTGACCACTCCTGCAGTTTTTTTTTTTTTTTTCTTTCCTGCAGGTAAACAAAGTTCCGTCCTAAATTGGCAGGACTGTGAGGTGCCGAGCTCTCAGCCCCATAGCCCAGAGCCCTCCTCACAGTGCGTGGCTACCCGGCTATACCCTCTGTCCCAGAGGCCCCCTATCTCCCTGCCCCACTCCCCGGGATCCACGCCCGGACCCCCGGCTCAGTGAAGCTGCTGAGGGCACAGGCCGAGGCCTCTTGGCCCAAGCAGCCTGTGTGGGGCAGCGGGAGGTTCTCCCGCAGTTTGGTTGAGCCTGAGACTTGTCTGGGCAGTGGTGAGGAGCCCCCCCCTCCCCCCCAGGAGAGTGTTTTTCCTTTGAGGGGATTCTGTGCCTGAGAAGGGTTCGGCTTCCCGCATTCTGTACCTCACCTGGTCTCACCTGGAGCAGCGGGGGCCTGGGGGCACCTGAACATGGACAGAGTTCTCCTCCCCTTCCTGCACCACCTGGGCTGCCTCCCTTGCCTGGAGGTGGCGCTGAGCGTCTCCCGTGGCCTGCAGAGGTGAAAACTGTGCCGGGTGGGGGGGTGGGGGGTGAGCATGGGGAGAGGGCAGGAAGCCCCACACCACGTCTTGCCACAGTGGATGCTCTTCCAGTTCCTCTTATATTTTCTATTAAACACTTGCTTGTTTTGGTTTGGTTTGCGTCTGCAAAGGTGAACCCCAGAGGGCAGCGAGCCTCCAAGTTCCAGTTCCAGCCGGTCAAGGGTAGGATGCAGGAGCAGGGGTGGGCTGGTCGGGCCCTGGGGCTTGGGTCTCAACACTGGGATTTGGAATGGATGAAGCCTTACCTGGCGGCCTGGAAACAGTATTCGAGGGCCTGAGTTTCTTCCAGGCCTGCCCTAGTGGCTGGGGCCTCAGAGCCAGACCGAGGGGTTCAGGGGGTCAGGGAGGTCTTCCTCTGTGTCCCCTGGTCGCCCTCCCTGGCTCCACGGGGCCAGGACAGAGTGGAGGTGTTCAAAAGCATGGGTCCTGGCACAAGACCCGGCCCCTCCTGCCCCTGCAACACGGACCCCGTGCTCCCCAGGCCGGCTCGGGGGCAGGACAGGGCCGGGAGCAGCGGTGCAGGGAGCCAGGCGGAGGCAGGGCTGTTAATTACAGTACAACTTTATTAATACTGGAGTCTTCACAGTGCATTTGTTACTCGTAGCAGTGACTATTTCAATCAGGGGGGGGGAGGTGGAAGGGGCAGGGAGGCGAGGAGAATTTATCCAAAAACGGACAGAAAGAAAAGAAAAACAAAATGGGTCAGATGGGATGGGGGGGGGGGGGGGAGGGAAGAAAGGGTGAGTAGGAACCAGGAGGGGAGACCCGGGTGGGGAAATAAATTAAAAAAAGGAACAAGTTAACAACAGCACCAGAAAAGTTACTTCAGTCAAAAGACGCTTTTGAAAAGAATATTTCTCTGTACAAATGAAAAAAAAAAAAAAAAAAAACACGAAGTCCCCCAAACCAAAGTTTGTGATGCGGGATGGTTGGCTCGGATCCCAAGGGGGTGGGCCTAAGAGGTGGTCACTAAATGGGAGACAGATAGATAGGTGGTCAAGGGAATGGGGGAGTTATGTACAACCCTGGGGTGGCTGGGAGGAGGCCTGAGCCTGGAGGCGGGGTGGCTCTGCCATGCCCACCCCCTCCTTGGGCCTCCCAAGCCACCCCTCCACCCCTTACCCTGCTAACATCACACATCCTGCATCTTACTCCCTCCACCCACCAGGTAAACGCCAGCACAGCCCTGCGGGGAAGGGGCAGTGTAAACCCCATCCCGGGCCTTCCCCAATGGGCCACCTGCCCTCCCGGCCTCTTCAGGCCCTCCCTCGCCTGGGCCCTCTCTCCAGGCACCCTAACCTGGGCTCTCCGGTTGGCTGGAGCGTTCAGCAAGGCTGTTCTCAGACCTAGCAACTTACAGATACCATTCTCCGTCTGCCCTTGGGAGCCTGGGGGGGCTCCATCCACCCAGGGGCTGCCTTGGTTCCCCAGACCTGCCTGACCACCCTGCTTGGATCCCGGTTCCCTGCAGAACTACCAGGAGCTCCAGCCTGGCGCTGAGACTCAGACCCAACCCCATCCCATCCCGACCAGGAAAAGCCTGCTCTCCTGACCTCGGGAGCCCCACCCCCCCAGCCCACCCTGTGGTCCCTCTGCCCTCTGAGCCCGGCCACCCTCTCTGCTGGCCTGCAGGACAACAGGAAGCCCTCCACTCGCCCTAGACGCACCTGCTTCTACCTGCTTCGAGTTGGCGGGCACCCCCACCCCGCACCCACTGCCAGCACAGGACTGGACTCCGAGGGGACTGCACCAGGATGGCATCTCCTCTGGCAACAGAGAGTCAAAGCCAAGCTCCCTGGACCGCACCCCAGCCCCATCCAAGGAGACCTGCTGCCTGCCCCCCCACCCTGGCCCTCTCCAACCTTATTTTGGCTTTGGGGAAGCCAATGTGGCCCTCCTCCTCCTGCCATGGGCCCACCAGGCCACTGTGAGGACCCTTGTCGCTCAGGCACTCTCGGACACCCTGTACTGTCCACCCTGTCCCCACACACAGTCCTTGTCCAGTCAGCTCTATTATTATATTCATAAAATAACCCCCACACCCTCTACAGCTCCAGCCCCTATCCTCAAAGGTGCCCGAAACCACCTTTGGACCAAAGTGCCACCAGAGTTAAATGCTCAACGTGCCCAGGTGAGGACCACACATCTGAAAGCAGCTCCTGGAGGGCTGGCCAGATGCCCCTCGGGCCTCTGGATTCCTTCCCTGCTGCCCTGCCTCTCAGCCCCAGGCACACCTCCCCGGCGAGGGGAAGCTAGGACCTGAGGCCCCTCGGGCTCCACAGCCACCTCCAAACAGATCCCCAAGACTCAACTTGGGGCCCTGGGCCTGTGGGCCTCTCTCGTCCACAGCAGCCTAGGCCTCCCAACCTCAACCTCCCCACCTCCAGTGCCGTTCTGTGTAGCTTTTTCAGTCAAATCTGACACCTTAGCCGACTGGGCACCTGGCCCCTCCACAGCCAGCCTGCCTCCCTAATCGAGAGGAACCTGGGAGAGGGGAGAGGAAAGAGGAGAGGAGAGGAGACCGGGTAGGGGCGGAGGGGAACAGTATTCAGAAGACCCAGGCACCACTGACCAGGGAGAAGCTGGGCCAGATGGCCTGAGCTAGGGCGGGCGGGCCCAGGTAGGCTCCCAGAGACGGGGGGTGGGGGTGGGGGGGAGAAGACAGGGGGTTGGGGGGGGAGGGCAGGACCTGTGGAAGAGGAGCAGAACAGGCAAGAAACATAAAAAACAGGCTCCAAACCCAGTTCAAGACCTGCAGGCTCAGAGCTGGTGAGCTTTGTTAAACAAGTCACTTCCCATTTCAATGCTGCAATCCAAGATGAGTGTCTTTCCATCCCACGTGACTTAAACAAAAAATCTGAAAGCTTGCCTGTCTGCTGTCTCCTCGCTGTGCCTTGGCTCTGAGTGGCTGCGGGTCACCTGCCAGGCCACCTGCCTCTCGCGGGGGCCACAGGGGAGGGGGGCGCCATCACAAGATGCGGGGCGCCGACCTGTCGTTGGTGACGGTCCTCCGGAGGCGCACCCCGCGGCGGATGGCCACCAGCATGTCTTCGGCCGGGGGCTCGCCCGAGGCGGCAGGGGGCGGGCTGGGCGTCTCGGTGGGGGCGGCAGCGGCGGCCAGGCCGGTGGGGAAAGGGAACTGGCCCTCGCCCAGGGCGTGGGCGCCCGCCACCAGCTCCCCGAGCTTCTCCACCAGGCTGTGCCGGTTGGCGGCCAGCTGCTGCTGGTCTTCGTCGTCCGCCGCCAGCCCTGCGTAGCCGGCCGCCTCGGGGGCCGGGCCGGCCCAGGCCGTGTTGGGTAGGCTCAGCCTCTTCGGGGAGGCCTTGGCCAGGTCCTGTGCCAGGGGCGAGGCGGCCTCGTCGCTGTAGAAGACGCACTCCTCGCTGCCCGCCCGCGTGGGCCCCGCGCAGCCGGGGGAGTCGGGCACCGTGGGCGTCTTCACCGGCACGATGGGCGGCCGGATGGGGATGGGGCCGGCGCTGGAGAGCGCGCGGCGCACGGCGGGCTTGGTGGACGGCGTGCGGCGGATGGTGGCCACGCCGGGGGGCGCGCCCGAGGCGCTGGGCAGCCCCGCGGTGGAGGCCGGGCGCTTGGTCTGGAGCAGGCGGCGGTAGTTCTGGGCGATGTTGCTGTTGCGGGGGATGGTGGAGGACTTGTCGAACTCGGCCGGGCCCTCGCCGTCCGCGTCCCCGTTCACCGAGTAGCAGTCGTAGTCGGAGCCTGGGGGCACGGGATGCAGTGGGCCGGGGCCGGGGCTGTGAAGGCCCGGCGACCCAGCCCCGGCCCCAGGGCCTACCTTGGGAGGGGATGGTGTCCTCGGAGCACGAGGGCGTGGTGGTCTGCGTGCTGTAGCCGCTGGAGTACTGCAGCGAGTCCCGGCTGCTCTTCTGGTGCTCCAGGCTCAGGCCGCGGGTCAGCACCATGGCCAGGTCACTGGCCGCGGGGGACACCTCCTCGCCGTGCTGGGGGTGGTAAGACTGCAGGCTGAAGCCTGGCTCCCCGCCCCACCGCCCCCCACTCCCCGCCCCTGAATTGCAGGTGGCTCCCGCCAGGGGAACCTGGCATGGCAGTGAAGATGGAGTCCTGGCTGGGCTGCCAGGGGAGCCGGCGCCTACCTTCGCTGCGATGGTGGCAGGGGACATGCGGGGTCGCGGCGCCTCCTCTCCGCTGGGGCCCAGGGTGCCCCCGCTGGCCAGGCCTGGCTCCGGGTCTCGTGGGTGCTCCGCTCGGTCCTTCCTCCGCTGTAGGCTGGTGCCCGAGGGCTGTTCGTGGGGACCCGCCTTGGCCCAGTCCTGCAGGGTGTGGCAGATGGGTCAGGGGGCCCTTGGCCCTGCCGTCCTCAGTGAAGGATCCCCTCACTATAGTTGAGGTTCAGGGTTTTCAGGCCCAGAAGGGGGCCTCAGGCTCATGATCATGACCAAGGGCAGAGCGTGGAGGGTGCCACGACCCCTCAGTCCCTCCAGGCCCAGGGGTAGGATGGCCATATCCCAGGAGGGAAAGATGTGTGTTGGGAGTGGCTGCAGGCGTGCCCAGGCGGCTCTTCCTGTGGGGAGTGGGCACTGTGTGCACCCCCCTCTGGGTGACCCTGCACCCTCCCTGCGTCCCACTGCAAGTGGGGAGCACTGACCGAGGTGGGGGAGCTGCACTCGCTAACGGACTGGCAGGTTTCCGAGGCCTCTGAGGACGCAGAGCTGGAGGACTTCTGCCATGCAGAGGTGAGCAGGCGGGCGGACGGGGCGGGGAGGCCAGGAGGAGAGGAGAGAACAGACCAGGTCACAGCGCCAGCATGCAGCGGGGCGTTCCGGCTCGGCACCCCACCCCGCCACCCCTGCGAGCGACTGCGGCAGATCTCAGCACCCTGAGCGCACACTGCGGGCACCGACCGACCCCGCGGCCCGGCCCAAGAGCCGGAGGTTGTGAGAATTAACAACCGGACTCGCTGCCGATGGCCCGGATGTGGTGGGCCAGGGAAAGAGAGACACGAGGGAGGGCAGCGGGGTTGACGGTGTCCTTGTCATCTGAGAAGGGTTGGCCTGCAGGAGTCCAGAGTTCCATCCTGCACGCACAGCGCTGAGCTGCCTGTCAGGTATCTACGCACAGCTGTGATGCAGGCAACCGCATTTACAGGTCTGGAGATGAGAGAGAAGACAAGGGTGGAGCCACCGATCCATGGCCATGAGACAGAGTAAGGTCACCTCGGCAGTGAGGGCAGTTAGAAGGTTCAAGGACCCCAGGCACGCCCACGCTCCGTGGCTGGCAAGAAGAGGGTCCAGCAAAGGAGAGGAACAAGGAGCTGCCAGAGAAGTGGGAAGAAAACCATAGCAGACGATGTCACAGAACTCAGAAGGACCTGCCCTGTGGAGGAGCCGGGCTGCCAGGGGTCCATCAGATGAGGACACGGAGGCATCCCTGGAGACCTTGAGAACTAGGTCACAGAATGGTGGGGGCAGAGGTCCACTTTTGAGTGGACCAAGCGTGCAGGGGAGACACCTGCTCTGGGCAGTCGTGGGGAGTAGGTGGCCTGGGAAGCCCCCAACTCACAAGAAGACACAAGAATGAAGACAAAGGCAGTCAGGGCAGACACAGGACCGTGGGCGCTCCCTGAGGCACACGCTGAGTGCAGTACAGTGGTTGGGAGACTGGGCAAGGGCCAAGGTGGGGGGCTCGCCCTGTGATGGCCCGAATTAAGCCAGGGTACCTGCAAAGGGTCCGTTTTTAGTACCACGCCTGCCCTGTCAAACTCTCCATATTCTCCTTAATTTAGACCCCCAGATTTTTTTTACAGTTTATGATGAACCAAGATCACCAAAATAAAAAAGGAAACAAAGCACCACAAGTGAGGATTCAGATGATACAAGAAACAAATTTAGATTTTTACCAATATAATTGTTAAAGCAAAAAAACCCAATGGAAAAAGCATTTGGAACACTGAGTGGAAAAATTCAATGTCTATTCATGAACAAACACTTAAACTGGGGACAGAAAAACTTCCTTAATCTGATAATAAAGAGTATCTACATAAATATCAATATATTTCCCTCAGAGGGTGGGGAAAAAGATAAGGATGCCCACGATCACCATTTCTGCTCAGTACTGGGAGTCCTAGGAGGGCAGTAAGGCAAAAAAAAAGTAGCAGAAAGCCACAAGATAGGAAAGGTAGAAAAAAGCAGTCCTTACTCATAAAAGACATGACTGTTGCATATGCAGAATACTCTGAAGAGTCTACAGTTATCAGAACTGATAAGTGATTTTAATAAAATTATTGCATGTAAGATCAATATACCAAAGAAAAAAATCAAATTTTTAAATATCAGCAGCCAACAAACAAAAAACCCCCTAAAAAGCCAATATAATTTAAAATAGCATCAATAGGGGCGCCTGGTTGGCTCAGTTGGTTGAATATCTGACTCTTGATTTTGGCTCAGGTCATGCTCTCAGGGTCATGGGTCCAGCCCCACATCAGGCTCCACGCTCAGCATGGAGTCTGCTTGTCCCTCTACCTCTGCTCCTCTCCCCGCTTGCTCTTTTTGCGTGCTCTCTCTCTCTCTCTCTCAAATAAATAAAATCTTTAAAATAAATAAAATTGCATCAATAAACATTAAATACCCAGGGAAAAAAAAATCCAGTGATAGATGTGCAAGATCTTTACATGCAAACTATAAAACATCACCGAGAGAAGGAAAAGCCAAAATGAATGGAGACATGAGCAATCCCCAGTCAAAACCCCAGGAGTTGCTGTTACTGTTTTTTTGATGGAAACTGACAAGCTAACGTTAAGGAATACAAGGAATTGCAAAGGGCCAGAAATAGACAAGAGGATATTGAATAACAAAGCTGGAAGACTTCTGTTACCACATTATCAAAGTTTTGTATAAAGTCACAATAATTAAGGTGGCGTGGTCTTGGTATGAGAACACAAATGAACCAGCAGACAGAATACAGACTCCAAAAACAGCTACAGGTATACAGATAATACCTGATTTATGACAAAGGCAACACTATAGTGCAGTGGGGGGGAAAATGGCCTTTTCAATATACTGCCAATTAGATATCTGTATGGAAAAATGACCCCTACCTCTTATCATATGTGCGCGCACACACACACATGCAGACACACGCGTGCACACACAATCAATCAATTCCTGATGAGCTGCAGATCTAAATGAAAAAGGTAGAAAAAGGCTTATCTCAGGACACAAAAAGCACAATTTAAAAAAACGAATAAATTGGACAAACTGGATATCCGTTAAAATTAAGAATTTTAGGTCATTAAAAGACTCCATGAAGAGAGTAAAAAAGGAATCCACAGAATCAGAGAAGATCTCAGATGAAGGAGTTGTATCCATAATATATAAGAAATTCTAGGAATCAAAAAAAAAAAAAAAACACCTCATAGAAAAATGGGCAAAAATGTGAACAGGTCCTTCATAAAAGAGGACAGCCAAGTGGCCTTCAGAAGCATGAAATGGTATTCAACCTCATTCCTCGTCGGGGAAGTACAAATTAAAAATACAGGGCACTACCAGATGCCTTCTACTGTGGTCCCCGCCCCGGAATGGCTACAATGAAAAAGATGTAAAATACCAAAGGTTGGTGAGGATGAGAAACAGCAATCCACCACTGGTACGGTATTCTTGCCAGAAACGTGTGACCTCGGTCTAACTACGGGAAGACCCCAGACACATCCAAACTGAGAAATGTTTTACAAAATACCTGACCGGTATCAAAAGTATCAAAGTCATGAAAGAAGAAGGACTGAAGGACGACTACATATTAGAGAAGCCGCAAGAGATAGAACAGGGTCCTGCACTCCTAGACCAGAGAAAACTGGCAGCATTTGAGGAAAGACCGTAGGTTAGTTAACCCCTTACGTAGCTACGATACTATTAACATTAGGGGAGACTTGGGAGGAATAGGTGAGAACTCTGTACTCTTTTTGCAACTTTTCTACAAGTCTGAAATTATTTCAAAATACCAAGTTAGAAAAAAGCCTCAAAGGAAAGGTTAAATTGCTGTGACGTAGAGAAAAAGGAAACTGGAAGACAGACCTGAGTAAATGATCCAGAACATCATACAGAGAAGTGAGGAGAAGGAAAATCTGAGAATTAAGAGAAGGATACACAGATAAATGAGAAGGTCTGGCAAGACAATGAATCGCAATCTCAGAAGGAGCGATAGCAAGAACGAAAGTAGGAATACAGAAATAATGGCTGAAAATTTCCAAAACATATGAAAGACATGAATACAAAGATACAGGAATACAAACATGTCAAGTGAGGCTAAATAAAAACAAATCTGCAACTAGACACAAACTGAAGAGCAAAGATCTTAAAAGTGACCAGGGAGCAAAGTAAGCTCATGATCTGACGGAGGACCTCTTAACCGACGATGGAAGCCAAAACACAGTGGAAAAATACCTTCAAAGTGTGCGAAGAGAACAACTGTCACCTCAGAATTGTGTCCCTGGCAAAACTTTCAAGAAAGACGACCAAATGAAGCATGTTTACAGATAAGCAAAAAACAAGAATTTACTACTACAGACCTATTCTAAAAGAACTTCTAAAGGATATGCTATACTTCAGAAAGGAAGACTTGAGGTATGAGAAAAAATGATCAACAAAGAAATGTGTAAGCATATGGAGAAATCTAGACAAATACTTTATGTACAAAAGGATAACGAAAGTAAGTAGAAAAATACCATTTGTGTTATTAAAAAATAGAGAATAACATATAATAGCTTATAAGTTGGGAGGAAGTGGGTGACTAAGTTAAAATATTTATTAAGATCCTTGAATTATTCAGGAGGTGAATGGTAAGGATGTATGGTAAAATTTCATGGTACCCTGTAAAAGAAAAGAAATAGAGTATAACTTAGAATCTAGTGTGGGGGGGGGCAAATGGGAAAAAGAAAAACAAACAAATGGCAAGGGAAGAGACAAAAGCAGCACAGAAAAAGCAGAAGGAATAAACAGAAAAAAAACCAAACAAACCAGGAGTCCAAATACGTCAGTAATCACAATAAATATAAGTGGACTAAAAATACTGAATAAGGGGTGCCTGGGTGGCTCAGTCATTAAGCGTCTACCTTTGGCTTAGGTCATCAGCACGGAGTCTGCTTCTCCCTCTCTTACTCCCCCTGCTTGTGTTCCCTCTCTCACTGTCTCTCTGTCAAATAAATAAAATCTTAAAAAAAAAAATACTGATTAAAAGATAAAGACTGTCAAACTATTATATAAAAGAAAATCTAGGCATCTGCTATTTATAAGAGACTCATCTAAAACACAAAGATATAGTGAGTTTAAAAGCCAAGAGATGGGAAAGGATAATATAAATCTTGAACAGAATACAGCTAAGATAGCTGTAATAATATCAAACAAAAGAGACTTTAAGAAAGCATTATAAGGAGCAGAGGATCAACTATATCATGTTAGAAGATTCAATTCACTACGAAGAGTTGACATTTTAAACTTGTATGCACTTAACAGAAGAGTCTCAAAATATATACAGCAAACATGCATAAAACCATATGGGAGAAAATAACAAATCTAAAATTTTTCAGTTTTACATAGGTGAAGCAGACAGAAATGAATGGAAATGAGGTAGAGATGATCAGTGCAGACAACTCTTTTGAGAAGTTCTGTTGTGAAGGATACTAGGTGGCTGGAGGATAACATGGTGGGGGAAGGGAGGGCTTTTAAAATGCACGATGCTGGAGCTTGTTTGTGTCCTGACGGGAATGAGCCGGCACGGGGAGAGAGACTGCAAGTGTAATGGGGACATCCTTGAGCAAAAATCCAGAACATAAAATACTGAGCCCAAATGGAGGCATTAGCCTAGGTGGGGAGGAAGAGCAGACTGGATCCAAATGCAGTCACTCCTGACACCCTGAGGATAGCCCCCTGGGCAGGTGGCCTGACCTCCTTTTGTCTTCTACTGTGGTCCCTCTGTTTGCCCATCTCACCGAGGCTGCAGGATCTGAGCCTGCATCTGAGGAGATTCGTGGGCCAGTCTCTGGGTTCCGAGTGAGCTGGCCCAACTGGGTAGAAGCAGGAGGATGTCCTGGGGCTCCTGGGGATGCCTTCTAGGGTCACCACCCCATCACGGTAAGCCTATGCAGGGGGAGGGTCCCAAGGGATCAGAGCTGCGCAGCAGCCCCCTCGGGGCTCCCGTAACTGGAAGAAGGCAGGCGGTAAGGAGTCAGGAAACGGTGAGCAAGTGGGGCACAAGAGCCCCCCACTGACACCACTGTGGCGGATGCCCGCTGCTCTAACCCTGGTCCACCTGCTCTAACCCTGGTCCTTAGCCAGGTTGGTCCCCGGTGAGGCGGTCCTGGGGGCCTCCAGGCCAGGCGCCACAGCTGCAGGCCCTGCAGACGCCTCCTCACCTGGCTGGTGATGTCGGAAGGCATGGGTGAGGGGGGCTTGGAGTAGGTGGCGTCCTGGGAGACGAAGCCAGAGTCGTGGGAGGAGACACTGGAGAGGCGGGCGGCGGCTGGCTGGGCCAGGCTGCGGTAGCGACAGGTGGAACCGGGTGAGTATGTGTGGGCACCCCCGGGCCACGGGGCTCCGCCGCCCTTGGAGCTGCTACTGCTGCTGGGGGCGCTGGGGGGGTGGGGGGGGGCCGCAGCCGGACAGGGAGACACAGGGTGCGCGTGGAGGGGTGACAGACAAGGGCGGAGGGGAGAGGTGAGGGGCAGAGGAAGGAAAAGACAAAGTCAGACTACAAGTCCTGAGACTCGGGTGCCACAGAAAAGGTGGGTTCTGGGATGGGGGGTCGGAAGGAGGCGGGCCCAGGCAGGGGACAGCACCCAAGAGCCGTGTTCCAGGGCACACCCAGGGCCAAGCAGTCACTTTGCTTCCTACTGTGCCATTAAGAACAGTAGACCTTAGGTTGGTGATGGGGAAACTGAGTCACTAAGCATCAAACCTTGTCCCATTCGGGCTAGAACCCAGCTCTGGACTGCCTCCTCAAAGTCAGATCTTTGCCATCAAATCCTAACTGGATATCTAGGGTGCGGTGATGGTCTGTGTGCATCCTGGACCCACCATTGTCCTCATCGCCTCCATCCCCTTGAGTGTGTCCAGCCCTCCGTAGCTCACATCCTGTAACCATTTCACTCTTGGGCAATGAAGGCTGCTTTGTTTCTGAATGTGATCCTGAAGCTACTCAGCCCCCACCCGGGGTCATGGGTGTCCTCTGCCATCAACCCTCCCTGCTGTGACGGACCCCTACCTGGGGTCTAACAGACCCAGGCCCTCCTCCCTCGACAGGAGCTGCTGATGGCCCTGCGCGGCTTACCTCCCATGCCCAGGTGCCCAGCCAGACGTGGCTCTGGGGAAGGGGAGCCTGGAACCCAGAGGGGCCTCCCCCACCAGTAACTCATCTGTGCTCACTGCCCACCCCGCTGAGGAACCTTGAATCTTAAATGTCTCCTCCAAACGTTGTCTTAGTGCCAGCCCTGGACGCGTCCCTGATCCTGAGCCTGCACCGTGAATGAAGGAGACTTGCGGGGCCAGCATGGGCCCGGGTTCAGGCTGAGGCACTAGCCGGGAACCAGCACTCAGGAACCAGCCAGGCTGGAGCGTCCCTTACCTTGGGGCCTCAGCGCACCTTCCCAGAGGCGTCTGTGCCCACCTTTGATCTTAGATTCTTACTATCCCTCCACCCACGTCGACTCTGCTGGGCTGGGCAGAGCCCAGTTGTGAAATGCTGGGACCCTGTGCCTCAGTTTCCCCTTCTGTGAAATGGAGACAACGCCACACCTGATATGGTGGTGTTAGGATTCAGTGAAGAAAATGCGTAAAGCATGTAGCACGGCCCCTGGCACACAGTGATTCCTCCGTCAATGAAACTGCCCTGCCCACCCCCCCACCCCCCGCCCCGCGCAGGCAGCGGCCTTGAGATGGGGCTACATTCGTCCTCTATGCTTGCATGCCAATTCCTCTGTGACGCACTTGGGTGACTTCTGGGGCCCGGAAGCAGATCTCGATGCAGCTTTGCTGGGAGCTCACCCATCCCCTCCTGGGGGCCCCTGCCCCTCCCTGCCCCCCCGTCAACCCCGCACTGACCTGCACATGCTGGACTTCCGTGAGCCGGAGCCACTGGGTGAAGACGGGGGGGTCTGGTAGGACCAGCTATAGTCCGAGCCCTTCAGGTCTTTGATCACCTGGACAGGGACAGAGATGGGAATCACCGGAGGCAGTCTTCCTCTGCAGAGAGCCTTAGTGTTGTCTGGGGGTCCCCAGAGAGGGCTAGTAGGGACAGAGGCCCCCCCACTCTCTTCCCTATTGAGAGCCAAGCCCCGGCAGGAGACCCTCCAGGGGAGTCTGAAAGCAGGGCTGCCAGGGGAGGGGGGCATGGGAGAACTAGGGGTCCCTGGGGACTGTCACTAGCAGAGAAGGCGAGAGTGACCATGAGGGACACCATGGGGTTCAAGTCCTGGCTCTGCTGTGCCCTTTGGGCAAGTTCCTGGAACCTCACCTGGTTTCTCCCGTGAAGAGCAGCCTATGGCTCCTGTCTTGCAAGGGCCATGGCGTGGGGGGATTCAACAGGGTGGCCGTGGAAAGTGCTGGGCAGAGTGCCGGGCACACAGCGGGCACCGGGCCAGAGCAATGCCACGGGCCTGTCACGTAGGACTGACCCTCGTGCAGTGGGAGCACAGTGGTGCGCCGAGCGGGTGGCAAGTGTGGGCAGGTGTCTGTGTGCCTGGGTCTAGGGGAGGGGACAGGTTCTGGGCATGGATGACAGGCAGGCGTCACCAGGCCTGGCTTGTTCAGGGGGAGCCTGAGGGCAGACACAGGGCCCAACCCCATGGGACCTCCCCCCCAATCTGCTCTCAGACTGAGGCCTCCACTGGGTCCTGTGCACACCACCCCTCCCCCGGGCAGGTGCTCCTGGATGTCCCGTGGCACGTGTTGGGCCATGTCTGGTCCTCTGTCCTGTTTTTTCCTCTACTGTCCCCCAACCAATGGCAGGCTATCCCCTCCCCTGTCCCCTAGCCCCAGGACGGCCGCACCTGCTCACTGGCGGGGGGCAGCTTGTGGGGTTCCGCCGTCAGCACCACCAGGTCGTCGATGATGCCCTGCAGGTGGGTGATTTCTCCCAGCATGGTCAGCTCGCCGTTCTGGGGAAGCAGCGGGTCAGACCCACCGGTCCTGCCCCTGCCCCCCCACCCTGGAGGAACAGGCCTCCCCTGCTTCTCCCCTCTCCCCCAACACTGCTCGGGTCTGATCGAGGCTGGAACTGGACACCCTGAGGCCAGTGTGACCATCTGTCCAGACCAAATTAGTGCACCATGAGCTATGAGACCTGTCTTTGTGCTGTGAGCACGCAGCTCTGAAGGCACCCAGCCAGGTATCACTGAGAAGCGGCCTTTCTCGGGGGTTGAGGGGTTGACCCTGGGCCCTGTCCAACCTGCTGGGGCCTCTGAGCCACCCCGAAAAGCTCCCACTGGTGGCTCCCAAATCCTGATTCTTGGGATTTCCTCAAATTCATGGAGACCCTCCAACTAGCCCAATGGCGGGGGATGCTGAGAACACCCCTCTGACTCCGAGGGACCCACCACCACGGGCTGCAGGAACGTGATGAAGGTGCAGAAGCGCCCGCGCTCCTCGATCAGGGCCCGGCGCACTGCCTGCTTCTCTGTCTCCTCCAGCAGCAGGTACATGTCATTGACGTCCTGCAGGGCGCTGTCCAGCTGAGGCTGCAGGTCTCCTTTCCCTGGAGGGGTTGGGAGGAGAGGCCGCGCTGGGGACGCCGGCCCGGCTCGCCGTGTGCATGGCTCAGGCCCTGTGGTGCTGTCCCTGCCGTGGGGCTGGGCACTGCCATGGGGGCCCGGGGACCGGGGAGGGCAGCCAGGACTCTGGGGCTTGTGCCAGGGCTGGTCCCAGAGCAGGCAGAGAGGACAGACAGACACACACACACAGGAAAGACACCAAGCTGCAAAGCCATCCCGGACGTGGAGCGGGCAGAGCCCACCGGGAGCCACCTTGGGAGCAGGTGTGCTCAGGTGAGTCCAGCAGAGGCCGCCATGGCTGAGACTTCCACCCCCCGGGGTACCCTCACTGCCCGTGGGCCAGCACCCACTCACCTCGCAGGGCACAGGGAGAGGGTGGGAGCCCGACAAAGTAGAGCCTGGGGGCTCAGCGGAGGGGTGTGGGGGTCAGGAGAGCTAGGGGCTGGGCCCCGGGGGAAGGGAAGGGGGTGGTCTCAGTGTGGGCTCCCACTCAGCTCAGGGAGTGATACACAAGGACAGCAACAGCGACACAAAGAAGCAGCGAGAGAGACAGAGAGAGGCAAGAGGATGAGGTAGAGATGGTGAGACAGGATGTGAGAAGGCGACAGGTCACCGGGCGGGCCTGGTGGGAGCGGGACAGCCAGGGCCTGTGCCCCCCCACCCCGCCCGCTCCAACCCCTCTCGGCCTGGCAGACTGACCCAGCAGCAGCCTGGGACTCATCCCTGGCCAGGGGCCCCCAGGGCCCCAGGGGACTGTGCCCCGGGCCCCTCCCTCGCTGGACCGACCGCCTTCCTTGCTCCTCCTTGGCCTGGAGAGGCTCCTTCCAATGGCCCTGAGCTGGGGGAGACAGACAAATGGGACAAGGACGGGAGGAGCAGCTGGAGGGACGGACATTTGACTTACCAAGTAGCTCTACAGGAAGGATGTGGGAGGAGGAGAGGAGGAGAGACAGAGAAAGAAAGAATGTGTGAAAGACAGCCGGATGGAAAGAGCCACTCCTGGGGCAGGGGTGTGGGTGCCTGGGCCTGTTGGCCTCCTGCTGCCTCCCTGAGAGGGGAGGGCCTGGGCCAGGTCTGGGGTGCAGGGAGGCTCCTTCTGTCCCACCCAGCAGGTTGGAGGGTCCTGTATCCAGGATAAGGCCCCTCCAGCCCGGATGACGCCCTGGGGCACCCCCTAGAGTGTGGGGCACCCGGAGTGGGGCCCCGTGGGGCTACGCTTCCCTGGGCCACTGTGGGCTCTACCTTTGCGTGCTTTCTTCTGCAGCTTCAGCGTGTCTGAAGACTTTTTCTTGATCTCATGCCGGGCTCGTTTGTACTCTGTGCACGGGGTGAGAGAGGAGTGCTATGATGGGGGAGCTCTGCACAATGAGGACAGGAAGCCCCGGCCCGAGCTCAGGGCCTACCTTTTGCGTGGTCCTTGTCCAGCTGGTTGGCCGCCTTCTTCCAGTCCTCGATGCGCTCCTGCAGCGGGTTGATGAGGCTCTCCAGCAGGGCGCTGCGGGCGGGGCGGGAGGGTCAGGGCCACCAGCGGGGTCTCCCTGCGTCACCCGCACCCGCCGCCCGCCTGCCCGCGGCCCCCACTCACTTGGTGAACTGCCGCAGCTTGGTCTCGATGCTGCGGTGGCGCATGCACATGCGCGTGAGCGCCGAGCCAATGTCCCGCGTGGCCCCTGGCGAGGCAAGCGCGCAGCGTGGGAAGGGGCCCCGACGGGCAGTCCCAGCCTCGGCCACGAGGGGGCGCGCCGGGCCGCGAAGGCCGCCGCTCGCAGCCCGCGCCCCGCCCCCAGCATTGCGCGATCCCGCGATCCGTGCTGGGCGGGGGCGCGGTGGTGGTGGATTTGATCTGTTCTCAGTATTTGCGGTGACTCTCCTCTGTGCTGGACCAAGGCCCTGCGCATCCCGGCCGTGCCCGCCCGCTGCAGCTGCGGGTGTTCTGGTGGTCAGGCCAGCGCGAGAGACCGTCCAAAGGGCCGGCCCAAATCCCCTCCAGCCCTGGCGGGAAGCCCCTCCAGGTGCCCCGAGGCAGGCGTGAGTGCGAGCAAGCGCCCGCTACTTGTTCTCAGGGGCCCCAGTCCTTGCTACTTGAACTAGAAGGCAGAGACGCCAAGGCCAGCGTGCTCTCAGACTGGCCGAGGAGAGGGGGTAAGAGGCAGCCGGGGTCGGTCGGACGCGCTGCACGGAAGGCTGAACAGCTGTGGCTGAGGGATGGAGCTGGCCGCCCACAGCAAGAACGGAAAGCCCGCCGTAACATCCCTGTCACCGTTCACCCGCTCCTGCTTGCATGCCACTAGTGATAAGAGGCTCACTCGAGGGCGCCCGGGTGGCTCAGTTGGTTAAGCGACTGCCTTCGGCTCGGGTCATGATCCTGGAGTCCCGGGATCGAGTCCCGCATCGGGCTCCCTGCTCGGCAGGGAGTCTGCTTCTCCCTCTGGCCCTCCTCCCTCTCATGCTCTCTGTCTCTCATTCTCTCTCTCTCAAATAAATAAATAAAATCTTAAAAAAAAAAAAAAAAAAAAAAGAGGCTCATTTGACGACCAGCCGATTCCATTAGGGAACAAAATTCAGTGTCCCAACTCTGCGCCCAGTGTCCTCTCCCTGGCTCACACTCCGCTCAGCCTTTCCAGCCTCCAAGCCCCACCTGGGGCATACCCAACCTCCAGCCACGCCCCCTCCCCACCTCGGGTGTTGGTGGCCATGTCTGCCACTTTCTGGAAGGCATCCAAGAAGGCCACAGCAGCCAGCACAGTGGTCCTGGGGAGATGGACAGTGGGACGGTCTGTGGGTGAGGTGTCCTCTCCTCTGCCCGTCCCCTCCCCTGCTGGGGCACCCTCAGCAGCCTCACCTCAGCTGGGAATGCAGCTTCGTGGCCTTGGAGTTGAAGTCCTCCCAGATGGGGTAGGAGCTCTGCCGAGGAGACGGAGAGGTAATGAGATTCTGGAGGCTGGAAGGCTCCACCTGGGCTGGGCTCCCCACATGCCTCCGACCAGATTCTGGGCAGTTTCTCAGGGACTGGCCCTGCCCCTATGGAGAGGGAGGCTCCTGGGCCTTCTGGGACGACCGAGGACCAAGGACAGAGCCATGGGGATCGAGCAAGGCCTGGCCCTGGGAACAGGTGCCTTTGCTCATCCCTCCCTCCCTGACAGGAAGTCTGGACAACTGTCTACGGTGGCCACCGTTTTGGCCCACATCCTCCCTCAGAGGGGATGGAAACATTAAATGGCAGGGCTCAGGCAGGCCAGGTCTCAAACTGAGGCCTCTGGGGGACCCCACCCTGGGCCCCGGAAGCTGTGACCGGCCCGGACACCCACCCATCCCAGGCCAGCAGCAGTGGCTCCCAGGCCTAGGGAGGCTGTGACTGCTGCAGGGCCCAGCCAGCCTGTCCGGGACAGCCAGGCCTCAGGCTGAATGGGGCCTTGTGCAGCCAACAGAGCCACCTTTCTCCACCCCCAGTTCCCCTCCCCTCCTGGGGACACAGTGTGGCCTTTATCCCAGCCTGGCCCAAAGCTCTGAGTTGGGAGGGGGTTTCCCGGTGGGGAGGCTTAGCTCCTGGCGACCAAGCTGTCCAGTCTGATCAAGGGGCTTTTCTGGCTAATGCGCCCTCCCATGGCGGATGGGTCCTGGAGAAACCTCAGCCCTGGCCTGAGAGCCCCGTGGAGGCCTGGATGCTTGAAGGGGAGCCCAAGGCCAGCAAAGCCCCAGCCCGAAGGGGCTTCTAAGCCTCCCTTCCATGTAGGCTGGGGTGCTCGGCAAACAGGGAAGGCAGAGACCCCAGCCCTCATGGCTTCAGAAGGAAGCTCTGCCAGACTGGAACCCAGGGGCAGGTTCGAGATGGCCTCTCTGGCTGAGGACAGCCTGCAGGGGTGGAAAGGAGACAGGACAGCTTCTGACGGCCTGAGAAACTCCCTCTCCTCCCAGCCCAGCCAGTGCCCAGGGAAAGCAAATATTTGAGAAGTCCACACAGGCTGGAGCGGGATGGGGGAGGCTGTGGGTGGGCTGTCTCCATGTGCGCACAGTTCAGGGTAAAGGAGCCTGGTACGTTGTCCCTGGCAATCCCAAGGAGCTGACCCTCACCCTGGCACCCCCAAGAGTCTTCTGAAAGATGGCACGCTTACATCACCTCCACATCCCAGCCCTGAAGCCTTGCTAAGACCTCCAGGGAGAAGAGCCACTGCTGAGGAGGCAGGGGACCAGGGGCAGGTGCCTCTGGGCAGTCTCAGAACACAAGGAATTAGGAGAAGCTGGGGACAGATCAGTTCCTACCCCACGAAAGGCCTTAGGCTGAGGCCCATCCCCCTGGCCTCCAGCCAGCCAGGCTCACTCCATTCCAGACCTTCACCCCCTCAGCTTTCCCAGTGGGGAGGGGACAAGACACAGCATGGGGGGAGGCCTGGCCCAGTTCCTCCTCAACAGGGGGACCTGAGCACCTTGGTCTCTAAGGGCCGGGACTCCACCCTCACCGGTAGGTAATTCATAGAACCCGGAGATAAAGAGGTGGGGGGGGGGCGGAGCGGCCAGTGTCCCAGGGGAGGGTCTTCAGGGTTCACCTGGGCCCATGCCCTCACCCTGGCTATGCCCTGGCTGTCAGGCTCTAGGACTCTGGGTGGCAGTGACCGCTGCTGGCCAAGCGCTTGTTGCGCTGTGTGAGCGCGTCGTCGGGTCCTTAGCACAGCCCCGTGAAATAAATACGACTATCACCCCCATTCTACAGGTCAGGAAACCGAGACTTAGAGAGATTAACTGACTTGCTCAAGGCCTCCACACGGCAGGGGCAAGATCTGATCCCACGACTGGTCACTACACCTGCCTCCAGGGTAGAGAGAGGGGGTCATCGGGCAGCAAGGGGAGGAGGGGGTAGGAACTGCAGGGATGGGAGAAACACCCACTCTGTCCCCAGGGCTTGTCACTAGAGGTGCTCGGGACTCCTGGCCCTCGGAGACGGTCTCTGATCTGGCGGGGGTTGTAGTCCTGGCTGTGATCCTAGAGAGGGGGCTTTCTGGGTGACCCTGGGCCAGGGCTCCACTCTGGGCCTCAGCTTCCTCATCTGTCAAATCGGGCTGGGAACCGCACTTACGTCACTGGGTCCGTGGGGAGACTTGAGGAGGCCCTGCAGGGGAAGAACTTAGCACCGTGCCCAGTACACAGTAAGTGCTCAGTTAATGCTGGCTAAAAAAAAAGGGACTCGGGATCCCTGCCTCTCTGCTGGAAGCCCCTCCCACCCAGCAGGGCCCAAGCCTGGGCCACACTCCCCACTCTTGGGAGGACAGGCAAAATTTATGGGCCCATTTCCTGGATGGGCCAGTGCTGAGGAGAGGCCCCCTTCACTCCATTGAAGGTGCTTCACCCTGTCCTGCCATCTTGGGCAAGCCTCTGCCCCTCTGAGCTTCAGTGGGCGGCCTGGCACCCACCCAGTGGGCATCTGAGCTAAGTGAGGCACAGAGGCAGGGAAAGCTCCTGAGTGCCCGGCCCCAACCCTGACCCGGCGCCCTCCTCCCGACCCTCCAGCCTCCAGGTGCAGCTCGGGGCCTCCGGCCTCCAGGTGCAGCTCGGAGCCTCCAGCCTCCAGGTGCAGCTCGGGGCCTCCAGCCTCCAGGTGCAGCTCGGTCCTGGGGGGTGTTGTGGGGCTTGTGGACGTGCTGTGGACAGGCTTCATGGGGCAGGCTCAGTCTCCTCAGTTCAGCCCCCTTCCTCTATGGAAGCCCCTCTGCTTCTGTGGTTCAGATCACTGAGGGAAACAGCCAGAAACTGCTCCCCAAATCCAGGTGATCAACCTCCAGGTGGCCCAGTCCCCTGCTCTGTCCTTGGCCTGAACACATGCATATGTCCTAGGTACTTAGCATCGCCCCAGGTGAAACCTCCACATGTCAGAAAATCCGGCCTGAATATCTCCCTTTTCCTTCTGTCTGATCTCAGAGCCTTGCAAATTGCCTGAGGAGGGAGGGACAGTCCTGTCCCTCTCTGAGCAGAGAGGCTGCCAGCGGGAGGAGGGTGGCGGAAGGTCCCATTCTCTGCCAGCACTGCAAGTAGCTGGGGGCGGGTGGTCTGGGCTGCCTGGTCCCAGGAAGGGATCCCAGTGCCAGGGCTGTGATGTCCACAGGACAGGAGGGCCTGCTGAGGGCAGAGAGAGGCCAGGACTTCTGAGGGCTGCCAGAGGGGTCCAGAGGGAGAGTTGCAAGGGATGGAGGTCTCAGGGGAGCACCCTATGGGGGGGGCATCTATATGCTGCTCACCCTGTAGTCCTAGGTGGGGACTGCCTCAGGCCTTTTGCAGGGACAGGGATCTGGCCGCTGCCCCTAGGGCTGTTCCCCTGGCAGCACCGGGAGCCTCCAGAAGGGCCTGCCTGGGCACTGTGGGGCCAGCAGCCCTGGTGTGTGGTGTTTCCTCCTGGGCCTGTGAGGTCACCGTGGAATTGTGTGTTGTATACTTGGGGGTGTGCGATAGGGTGGGGGCTCTCTGGAGGTCATGTGGAGAGCCCAGTTCTTTCCCCTGCCCTGCAGTCCTGCCTCAGAGGAGAAAGGTAGGAGCGGGGTGCCCGGCCCCGTCCTGTCACTGGAGCTGGAACTCCTCCCTGCCTAGTCAGCCTGCGCCGGCCCTGCCAAGCCCTGGCCTCTCTGGGGAGAGGCTCTCCCTTGCTCCCCAGATGAACAGAGAGGGACGAGGTCAGGGACAGAGTTGGACAGTCTCCTTAATGACCTTGACCATTCCCAGGCCTCAGTTTCCCCAACTAGTGAGTCAGTGGTGAGCCAAGAGCTGGTGGCTTGCTCCCCACCGCCTTGGCCAATCAAGGGGGGGGGAGGGGCTGGGGGTTGGTGCTGAAAGCCTGCGGGGCTAGTACGTTCCCCCTTGGGGCTGCTCCAGAAACCCCAACCCTCTCCCTTCCTCCCTCCAAGGTGAGGACAGAGGGACAGTCAACCTAAAGTCCTTGGAGTCCTGCAGCTTCCTAGGGCCTGTTTCAGGGGACCTGGGCAGGGGTGGGGGTGGGGGGGTGCAGCAGTCGCAGGGTCGAGGCCTCGCAGGGTCGAGCACAGAGGCCAAGGCCGGCGGGAAAGGAGTTAATGCTTCTCCGCTTTATTATTTTTCCCTGCTTTGGCGGTGACAGCATTGTCTGGGCTCCAGGGCCGTTGGGGGCGGGGGTGGGGGTGGGGGGGTGGTAGGTGGGGGGCGCAGGGTGCAAGGTGGTGGTAGGGGGCGGAGGCCGGCGAGACCCGGGACCCATCAAATTTAGGGCCGTGGAGCCGACACCGGAGCCAAACCCCATTCATGGTTTGGGGGTCGGGGGCGCAGGGAGCCCGCGTGTGAGCAGGTCGGGACCCCACGGGGGGCGCTACGACCTGCCGACCCCGGGCCTTTAAAGACCCCGGGCGCCGCACGGACACCCCGACACACGAATACGCACACCCCCTCAGACGGGCACCCCGAGACCCAGGCAACACAGCAGACGCAGGCCGGACGCGTTCAGACAAGGACACACACACACAGCGCGGCGCGCGCACACAGCGGGGCCCCAATGCCCGCCGCCACTCGTCCCCAGAGGGGACCCGCACCCGCACCCGCGCGCCCTCCGGGCAGCCGGCCCCGCCGCACCCCGTTACCTTCATGTCGTTGACGATGGCCTGGAAGAGCCCGCCCAAGGCGCCGCACTCCTTCTCCGCCGTCTCCATGCTCGGGCCGGGCCGCGCGGCGGCGGCGGCGGCGGGCGCGGGCAGGGGCGCGGGACGCCGGCAGCCGAGGGAGCCGGGCGCGGCGGGCGCTCGCTCCGAGGCCGGGCCGGGCCTCCGCCTCCGGGCGGCGCTCAGCGGCCGGCCTCGCGGCGCTCGGGGGTGGCGGGCCGCGGCGGGGCGGCGCGGGCCATGGCGCGGCGGGGCGGGCGGGCGGCGCGGGGGGCGCGGCGCGGGCAGCTGGCGGCGCGGCCTCGGCGCGGGGACTGGAGCGGCGGCGGTAATCCGAGCCGCCGCGGCTCGGGCGTCACGTGGGTGCGGCGGAGGCAGGACCACGGCGGGGGTGGGGGGCGGGGGCTTGTAGGGAAGGCCGGCCGGGCGCAGGCCCACTCAGCGCCGGAGCCCGGCTTTGAAATCCGAGCCCGGGCGCAGCCAGACTGGCGGGGCGAGCGGGGCCGGCGGGCGCGGGCGCGGGCGCCGCCGCCTTGGGCCGGGGGCGGTGCTGGGGCGGGGCCGGCCGGGCTGCCTGGCGGGCGGGGACCGGTGGTTGCGTGTCAGCCCCCCCCCCAGGGAAGGGGCTCGGCACCCCTTCCAGCCTGTGGTCTCGGGCCGGGGTCTTCCCGCGCTTCTAGCGGACGGGCGACGGGCTGGGCTCCTCCGGGGGCGTCCCGCGGGCGCGATACACGACATACAGCGGGCGCGCGGGGTGTCGCCCACCTTGGGACCTTCCATCCCAGGCAAGGACAAGTCTCGACGGCCCTCCAGAAGCTCTTTGGTTGCTTTTCCAAGCGGTGCCGAAGTCCCTCGCATTGGGGGTGGGGGGCCGGGCTCTTTTGGGGTGTCGTGACCCGGTCGGGCAACCTGCTTACTCGGCAGTGGGGGCCGGCGTCAGACCAGCTGGGCAGAGGTGGGCTGCCGTCCGCAGTCCCCGACGCCTGGGTACACGTGTGTGGGGACGCACGCGTGTTCACGTGGACGACCGGCGTGCACAGCCTGTCGTCCTGGAGACTCCAAGGAGGGAAACCCACCCTCCCCGAGCGATGCGGGGCCCTGGGGAAACGCTCACACGAACTCAATTCTCCCCCACTCCCGGGCCATCATGAGAACCACCTGGGAGCTCATTAGGCCAGTCAGAGGCTTCCCAAAGCCTGGAGTCAGGTGGACTCTGGCCTACCGGTGTGTTAATGAGGCTTATTTAGCCAAATCAAGGCGGGCACCTAGGACACCTCCTCTTTCCCTGCGCTGGTCTGGGCCTTCCCTTCCATTTCCAGCTATGTGCAGCCTGCAGCGAGTGCCCTTTCATTCAGAAACTCAAGGTTTGGTTCATCTGTTCAATGGGGATATGGCCCATTACCCTGGGGATATCTGGGTGGAAAAGTCAAATTAGGTGCCTGGGAAGGTAGGGTTCCCGGTTTCAGGCCAGGCCAGTGCTTGGCGGTCTCCAGGAAGGGGTGGGTCCTAGCGGTGAGAGCTGGGACCCAGAACACACCCTTCAGGGGACTGTGCAGGGACCAGCCTCTCCAGGGGCAGCCAGCCCTCCCTGGGGCCGCCACGAGCAGCGCTCCAGGACGGGCCACAGGGTCCCGGAGCAGCTGTGGGCATCAGGCAGGCAGAGAGCAGGTGCCAGTGGGAAGGAGCAAGCAGGTGCGGCGGAGGGTTTTCCATCATTTCTTTATTGGGGCAGGGGGCGTGTCATTCACACGGACTTCCGTGCTGGCCCCTGTCCGCAGACAGGTACACGTACTCCTATGTACGCGCGTCAGCACAGAGCGGAGCTCTGGTGGGCCCGAGAGCACAAGCTCTTCGACAAGAGGGCATCAGAAAGAGACCGGTTCCAGAGAGTGGGTGGTGTCTGGGGCTTTGGCCCCACCCTGGTGGGAAGCCAGCTCTGTCTGAAGGCCAGGGTGCAGCTGACAGCACTGGGGGCCCGGGGGGGGGCTGGGCTATGAAAAGAGCTTGGGTGGACGGCCTCTGTGCCCCCACCCCGCGCTGGTGGCCAGGCCCAGCCCCTGCCCTCGAGGCAGGTCTTTGAGCTCCCCAGGGAGGGGGCCTGAAGACCCTGAACGCTCCATGGGGCCACTCCTTGGGCCCTTCTCCATGCCAGGCCTGTCAGAGGACAACCCTCCGGTCCAGGTGATCCCCGCGCCCGCTCCGCTGGTGCCTCACTTCCAGGTGCTTCTTCTGGACCTGCTCGAAGTGCTGCAGCAGCTCAGCGTAGTCGATGCTGGGGGAATCTGCTTTCTGTGACTTGGGGGCTGCCGGCGGACTGTCTCTGGGGAAGGAAGGGCTCAGCATCAGTCTCGGCACACACGGGAGGGAGCTGGGGGGCAGGCGGCACCAGGCATAGGAGGGCAGGGGGTCAGGGCAGGCCCACAGGCTCACGGAGCTCAACCTTGGGGAGTCTGTCTGCCTCAGGCCCGGCACCCCTGGCCCAACAGTCAGCCCCAAAGTAGGGGAGCCCCGAGAACATCCCCTCCCCCTCAGTGGCTGGGACCAGTCAACACTGCTGCTTGGACATGGTCTTCAGTCTGTGGGCTGGCGATGGGGCCCACGGCAGGCATCGCATCAAGCATTTCCTGTTTACGACTGGCTCCCTTTGGGGTGAAAGCCAGGGCTAGCAGCCAGCCAGGAAGCCAGCTGGGGCCTGGAACAGGGTCCAGGGAGAAGGGGGAGGAGGCAGCCTGGCCCTTTCTCTGGGGCAGGACTGCAGACAACAGGGATTGTCTACTGCTGAAGAGTCTCTCCTGGGCCTTCAGCTTGTCAGGACATTGAATTTTGAGTGCTGGGGTCCAGGTGGGGTCATTCCCTGCCCCTGGGGAAGGAGAGCTGGTTTCACCCCGGGGCATGCTGACGGTTCCTTTAATTCCTGTTGTTACCACTCCCCAGCGGCTCTGTACAGCTGCACAGGTTGTGCCCGATGCTCCCGAGTTGTGCAGGGTAGTAGCCCTGCTCAGCTTGCCCCAGGGACTAGATCCCCTGGGACCCTGCCCTGTTTCTAACCACCCCTCCAGGGAATCTCATGAAAGTCTGCTCCTCTCTCAGTTGAACCTCACTGGCTTAGGAAACAGATCTGCGTGGGCTGGAGAAGTATTTGCTTCTAGCCCCTGAGGCCTCGTGGCCCTGGTAAGGGGGTCCCATGAAGGCTGTGGGCTGTTCGTGAGAATCCTTGGACCCCCTGAGTTCATGGAGAGACCCCAATATTGGGGCACAACAGCTGAGCACGGAGCTAGACAAGCGTGGATCCAACTGTAGTACGACCACTTCCTAACCATTTGAGCTTGGACCCGTGGCTGTTTCCTTATCTGTAAAGAGGGACGGCCACAGGAGCCGCCCCATGGGGTGGTTGTGAGGATTCCTTCAGATTCAACACGCCAGAGCTTAGCCTGTGCCCAGCCCCAGCCTGAGGGGCAGCCACGGTGGCTACAACTCTGTTCCTCTGAGGCGAGACCAGCCAGGGCCCAGCAGCTCGAGGCCTGCCCCTACATCCGTGGCTCAGTCCACTTTGCGGGAAGCGATGGAAACCCTCACCAATGAGCTTGGCCCCTGAGAGGCATCTCTGACCATCCACCTGGCTGCTGGGGCAGGACCAGGGGCGGTGGGAACCCTTCCGGTGGTCAGGATGGAGCTGGAGCTCGGAGGCGGCCCCCTGCACCCCTACTCAGTGTGTTCCCTTCCTGCTGAAGATGCACCACCGGAAGGCACCTTGCACGGTGGCTTGGCCGTTGGCTTTCCTGGGCCAGGAGCCAAGTGGGGCCGGCTCTAGGAGGGCCAGACTGGGGGCAGCATTCTGAACTCCGGCCGCGGTATTCAGCTCCCCTGGGAACGGGGAAGGGGCCTCCCTGTCACAGTAGCTCTGTGGTCCAGGTGCCACCGCCCCGAGAGAGTAACCTGGGCTTCTGGGGACGCCGAGGGACACCCTACAGCTTAGAGCTCTAGCCAGGGAGCGGCCAGGTGCTGCCCCGGGGCAGCGAGCCGAGATGCGGGAGAGACCTGTGGGCCCGGAAACGTGCGCCCAGACAGGACACTGCAGTACGTCGCTGGGCGTGCGTGGGTCTGTACGCTGTGGCCCTCGACACAAATGGCAGGCCAGGCGTTAGGTCCCGAGTAGCCCCGAGATGAGGGGTGTCTGTGGAGACACCAGCAGAGGCAGCAAGCCCGGGCGATCTGCACGGATGTGGCCCAGGGAGTGTGTGGGGGCGGGGAGGAGTGGCCACACCTTGCACTCTCTGGGGCCTTCCGTGGCTCGGCCTCCCCTGGACCCCTCCTGGCCTGAAGTCTTTCGAGTGGGGAGGAGCGTGCCCCCCCCCCGAGCATGCAGGCCGGGGCTCCTCTTGCTGCTCCAGCCCTTCATGTTCTGTTTACGACACCCCCCAGGCAGTCCGTGGCTGGGGGACACCCGACCAGCAGCAGAGATGGGATTCCAGAACCCGAAGCCGGCCCTCTCTGCTGCTGCCCCACCCATGCACCTGTCACCAGCGTTTGCTTCAGAGGATCCCTCCTGCCTCACAGAGATGGTGTCTGGGGAGTGGCGTGGAAGCCTGAGCGGGGCCAGGGTCTCCTAGGCCTGCTGGCGCCTGAAGCACATGGAATGAGGGATGGGTGAGGGGTGCAGACCCCCCCCCCAGCTGTTCCCAGCTTGCAGGCCTGTTAGGCAGGCAACCCAAAGCTGTCTTCCAGCTGCCTGCCCCTCCCAGGGCTGAGACTGTCCCCATCTCCCTCTCCAGGGCGTGAGCTGTCCCTCTGTGCCCAAGCTTGCAATCTGACCCCTCCCCCAGCTGTTCCTGGGGCCCCATCCCCACCCAATGTCTCCCTGCCCCTATCTGTGTCGGCTCTTCCTGAGTCCCTGCAAAGCTGGGCACCCGGGGCCTTGAAGGCTGGGGAGAGTCTCAAGCATCCATTTAGCCCAAAGGCTCATTTACTAATGAAGAAATCGAGAGCCAAGAGAGGGATCTGAGGTCACAGAGCAACTCCTTAGCTGAGCTTGGACCAGATCCTAGTCCAGACCTGTGACCTGCTCACTGACCTGAGAACCCAGAGGTCTCAACCCTTTTGCCCAAGACTCCCTTGACTCTGACCATAGGAAGCTCAGGGAGAACCCTTTTTCCTCAACTTCCCTCTACAAACTTGTACCTGGGCCTGGAGCCTGCAGGAGCTTTACATCC